ATGGATGGATGGATGGATGGATGGATGGATGGATGGATGGATGGATGGATGGATGGAGATGGCAGTGTATAGATGGATAATGGAGGAAGAAGACGGTAACAGACGGATGAAGATGGCAGCATATAAATGGATGGATGGAGGTTGAAGCCAGCAGTATTTAGATGGGTGGGTAGCTAAGCTTTCCCGAGTGTTGGGATTTAACAGACAGAAGACAAAATCAGCATCAGAATGTTGAGCTTTTGATGCACTAATGTGAAAATCTACCCCCTTCCAAGTCTCAGGTCCTACTCTACACCTTAGAAAAGGATGTGTTCCCTGAGAGTGCAGACAAGGGCATCACTTCAGGGCTCATGACCTGCCACCTGCCTGCACTCACACTGCCTGCCCGGCCTACGAAAGTGGGCCGCTAACACAGCACTTCCTGCCATACTTACAGGATGGTGTGAGCCTATCCAATCCGTCAGATCCATGCCCAGGCTACAACCAGCATCAACGACAAAACCAGATCCCCACCCCCACCTTCTGAAGTTTGTCCTTCAAACCTCCTTCACAAGGGTCAGAGCCTAGCCACAGAGAACACCCTGGCAATGGCCCCACGCACCACCTATGTCCGCTTTGGCTCACCCTGTGCTGAAGGTAGCAAAGGCAAGATGCCCCTGGTAGCTTAGGTGTGCGAGCTCTTAGAGTGAGAGCACAAAGCTTTGGCCAGCACTCCCAACAGATCAGACCACATTGCCACGAAAGCACTCGGAGAAGCCCCGCCTGGGGGTCAATCCGTACTCAAGTGTGTGTCATGCCTGGTCTTATCTCAGCTGCAGCAGGTGCTGCAGTAAATGAATACGAATCCCACAAGGAAAACACACACATATGAAATCTCCCCTAAAAGACAAACGTCATACACTCCATCCAGTCCAGACCTTCCTGGTGGTGGAGGCCAGTGGGCCCTTCTCCAGGGAGCTTCACCTCACTAGGCAGGCACTAGAGGAGGGAGGGGAGTAGCTTCCAGGACAAACAGCAGTGCACGCAGTTCTGACACTCCTCAGAGAGAGGCTGCTCCCCCCACAGAGGGCCAACCCCGGAGGACCTGGCTCCTCAGCCTTGTGCATAACCCTGCAGTGAGGGCCTGAGCCGTGGGGCCAAGACCACCCAGGCCATTCTCCAGCCAGACCACAGCAAGAGAAACACAGCCCATACCAGGCCAGGCTTCTCGGAGCTGCTACAGGGTCATTTTAGTTCTGAGGGCAGAGAACACAGTGTTTCAGGTGGTGGAGAGCCACGGAGGCATGAGAGAACAGAGGCGGCTGTGACCTGCGCCCGCAAAGTCCAACCATAACAGACGCACAGCCAGGGCGCAGCCATTGCTGAGCCTCCTTCAGGCTCCTCACAGAGCCTGGCAGAGACCCAGAGGGGGCCTGACCTAGAGGAAAAGCATTTACTCTCAACCAAGGAGCTCAAGGGAAAGCTTTATTACTGTATTATTTTACATGACCAGGGAAGGGAGAAGGAAGAGAGACGGGGAAGGGGGAGGAGGCGAGGACCATGCTTCTGGAAGTAGCCTGGCCTTCACAGGGAGGTGATGGGCCGCAAAGAAAAAGATCTGCCCTGGACAGAGGTGGACAGCATTGTTCAGGAGCCAGGGCTGTGACAGGAAGCCAGCTGACGCCTGTCCCAACTGCACTGCCAGGCTTCCCGATGCCCCGAAGGACAGCAAAGTAGACACAGCTGTGGCCCAAATTTTCCACCCTAAAAAAAGCACCAGAAACAACCCTGCCAGTGAAAGCCCAGGGGAATGCTCCATCCAGGTGGTGAGAGGCTGGAACCTAAGAAGCCAAGGCTGTGGTCCAGACTCCCAGAAGGGCCAAGCCGGCTCTGACAAAGAAGCACTGTGGCCCAGCCACACACCGATCTGCCAGCCACTGCCTCGCAGTGCAGCCTGTGGGCACGCCAGGGTGAGAACACAGCCAGACGTCTCAGCTCTCACTCTGCCCCCTTCCGAGGAAAACGCAAAGCCCTCCCCTCCAGCATGGGGTGATGTGTGTTCCTGAGGTTGAGCTGAGCCTGCCTGTCCAGCCAGGCCTGACAGCACCACACAGGAAGCTGAGCAAGGGAGGCCCATTCCCAAGCCAGAACTGCAGAGCCACCTCCTGGGAGGCCTCTGCCTGCAGAGCTGCCAGCACACCCACTTCTTGCCCTGTGCACTTGCTGCAAATGGGGTTGCCACCATCATTCTAGGCATGGCTCAGTGATCGGCACTGCTTCACCTCTGACTTCCCAGTCAGCTGGAGCCGCCAAGGAATCTAGAGCCCAGCTACCATACTGCTCAACACTAAAGGTGTGTGTCTGTGTGTGTATGCTACCACTGTGCACCCACAGGAACGTGCACACAGGTCAGAGGTCAAGCTTTCCTCAGGAGCCATCCACCATGGCCTTTTTAAGACAGGGACTCTCATTGGCCTGGAGCTTGCTAAATGGGCCTGGCTGGCTGCCAGTAACTTCCTGGGGTCCATCCGTCTCCAGCTCCTCGTTGCTGGCGTTTCAAGCCTCACCACGCCTGGCTGTTCTGTATGCAGGTTCTGGGGATCAAACTCAGATCATCGTGCTGGCACAGCAAGATGTCGTCCACAGTATCTTCCCAGCTCAACTGCTGTTGCTTAAAAGATTTATTGTTGTTCTACATGTATGAATTATGTGTTTGTCTGTACATGTGTGAAGCCAGACAAAAGCAACAGATCCCCTGGAACTGGAGTTCCAGACCACTGCTGTCTTAGGTGATGACATGGGTATTGCTGTGATGAAACACCATGACCAAGGCAACTTCAGAAGGAAAGCGTTTATCCAGCTCACACTCCCATAGCACTGTTCATCACAGAAGAAAGTCAGATCAGGAACCCAAACAGGGCAGAAACCTGGAGGCAGGAGCTGAGGCAGAGACCACGGAGGGTGCTGCTCACTGGCTTGCTCCCAATGGCTTGCTCTGCCAGCTTTCTTACAGAACCCAGGACCACAGCCCAGGGGTGGCCCCACCCACAATAGCAGGGCCCTCCCCCACTGAGCATTAATTAATAAAATGGCCTACATCTTATGGAAGCATGTTCTCAATTGAGGCTCCCTGATCTGGTAACTCTAGCTTGTGTCAAGTTGGCATAAAAATAAAACCAGACAATACGATTGTGAACCACCATGTGGGAACCCAGATCCTCTGGGAGAGCTCTTAACCGCACAGCCGTCTCTCCAGGCCTTGTCTCCACTTCTTAGTAATACCTTCCACTCCCTCCTGAACTGAGTCAGGCCATACACATTCTCCCAAGCAAGCCTTTCTAGAACATTCCATCGGGATGTGCTTAGTGAGTCGATCAAGGTTAGTCCACTCACTCTGAAACCCTTATATCCAATGATTTTAGAAAGAACCTTGGAGGAAGTCAATACCGGTAGGATGAGAGGCCACCATCACCTGAAGTATCGCTTTGGCTAACCCCGTCCCAGGCTTCCCCACTGGTAACCCGTCTCTGGATTCAGAGCTCAAGCATCTTCATCAAACCCAAAGGAGAAAGAGGCTTAAAAGCAAATGACAATGGACTCGTACCTTCTTTGTGAGCAATGTGGCCAACTGAGACACAGCCGCATGGCCAAGGAAAAGCCACAGCAACCTCCGCCTCCCCCATTCCAGCCAGAAGCTCCACTCAAAGTCAGTCGGGTCCTAGGATGGGAAAACAGGAGGTGGCGTCACCAGAGGGACTGCTGTGTGTGACAAAGCACCTGGAGAGAAAGCCGCTGGAGTCCAGATTCTGTCAGCTGGCCTTTACCCACTTAAAAGCCCAACCTTGAACTCTGTGTCCCCTCCAGCCTGGCTGGTCTCCCCACCATTCTCCAAATTTTCCTTCCAACTCAGAGTCTTCATGGACACTGAATCCTCCAGGACAGAGGCCCACGTTGTTAGCCCATTTTCCGAGAGATGAAACAGAGGCTGAAGGGTTTCAACTCACATACCCAAGGTCACACCGACAGCAGAGAATGAGCTCGGATGATGTGTTAGGAACTTTTCTGCTAAGAGTTCATTTGGGGCTTACAGTTTCAGAGGGTTAGGGTCCATGACCACCAAGGAACAGAGAATGGCAGCAGAGGCAGGCATGGCAGAATGGAGCAGAGGCTGAGAGCTCTTGATTCACACACAAGCCCATGGGAGAGAGAACAGGGAATGGCAAAGGCTTTTCAAACTCCAAAGCTTGCCCCCAGTGACACACCTCCTCCGACAAGGGCACGCCTCCTAATCCCTCCCAAGCAGTCCCACCAACTGGAGGCCAAGCATTGAAATATATGGGCCTGTAGGGGCCAAGACACTTCTTCACCAATCAGATGTAAATTAGACACCTAGTGTGCCGACAGAGGCTCAGTTGTACTAACTCTGTATCTATAGTAGCATGGTAACTGGACAAAGAAATGACCTGCTTTCCTATCAACCTGCAGAAACACAATTATGGTGTCTGCCTCTTCTGCTAGAGCAGCTCCTGGTACCATGTCCCAGGTCAGTGAGGCATCCACAGGAGCAGTATGTGGACATGAGGAAGTTCAGCGAAGCCAAACACAACATGCAAGTGACTGGCTGCCCATACCATGAAGCATGGTCAGGGAGCAGCTCAGCAGCCCAGGATAGTCAAGGCTTCCTGTCCAGCTCACGTGGGTGAGGGAGGGTCTCCCCACAACTGCAAAGGGTGGACATCCCCCATCTCCATGCCTTGAAGGGTGGACATCCTCCCCGTCTCTGCAAGAGGATTCAGGACCCTGGGCCTCAAGTGGAAGTGGAGGAAAATGTCTTTAATTATACCGTGCGGTGGTTTGAATAGGAATGGCCCCACACGCTCGGGTGTCTGAGTGCCTGACCCACAGGAGGTGGCACTATTAGACGCTGTGGCCTTGGAGGAAGTGTGTCGCTGTGGGAGTGGGCTTTGCCAGCACCAGCTAAACGTTTTCCTTCACAGGATGTCGTGGCGTCTCTCTTCACAGCAACAGCAACCATCTCCTGAGGTGTGCAGCTTCCTTTCATTCGTGTTCACAGCACAGGGTTCGAAGCCAGAAGCCAGCAGATGCAGCGAACCCACCCCCACTTATAAAGACCACAAAGGGTGAGCCCACAGGAAGTCTGCACAGAGGAGGTGAGCTCTCTGGATAGACCTGGGCTCAGCCTTCATCCACCAGTTACTGGAAGACATTTCTTTTTGCCGATGCTAAAATAACTCAGACTAGATCATTTTAGTGCTCCCAGAGTGGACAGCCACGCCTTCCTTAAAGACGCTCTCCCTAATAAAGCTGAACCTGCTTTTTCACGACACTGATGAACCGCCTGTGCCACCCACACAGGTAAAGAGGAGGCTGGCAAGCAGCTCCATGCTGAACACCCTCCCTCACCTCCTCAGCCCAGCCAGATGGTTCAGGGGTAAGAGCCAAGAAAGAGGACAGCCTTCAGAAGAGGGGTCCACTGGCTCTGGTGGGCTGACCCGAGTTTGATCCCCCGAACCCATGCTTAAAAACAAGTGTGCCAGCAGAAGTGCTGTTGGAGGCAGAGACTACTGGATCTTTGAGTTTGAGACCAGCCTGGTCTACCGAGCAAGTTCCAGGACAGCCAGGGCTGCACAGAAAATCCTTGTCTTGGGCAAACAAAACAGACGTGATAACTTGGGGGTGAGCCCAGTGCTGGGAGGTAGAGACAGGGGAATCCCTGGGGCTCACTAGCCAGGGGACACCCCTCAAATCACACTGTGGACTGTGACTGAGGAATACAGCTAAGTCTGACCTCTGGCCTCCACAGACACACAGAGGAGGAAGTTATTAAATCTGAAGGACCTGATGATGAGTAACTGCTTTTCCAATCTCAACCCACCTAAGCCAACCGAAGCCCCCACCCCCACCCCGTTACAGCACTCCACGCACCAAGCTCTGGGTTGTACCGGTTGTTAGGAGCCGGGGGCGGAGCTAGCGTTCATAAACGCTCACGCCTGGTCTAACATGAATAGGTTTGCTCCCCACTTTCTATGCGCACAGCCTTCCCTTTGTTCCTAAAGTCAGTGAGAGGAGGTCTGCATCTGTTCCTGGCTGGACTCTCCAAGGCTGCGTGCTCTAAAGGAAAGAGACTATTCAGCTCCTAGCTTGGAGGGTCAAGGTCCCCGCACCAAAAGTCCCGAGAACTTGGGGTGAGGCGGCAGGAGCGTGTGTGACTAGGGAGGTCCCGGGGCAAAGCCACATGTGGGCGACAGCCCCGGACCAAGCTGCTCCCTTCTGAGGACACTCCTGTCCTGGATCCTCTGCTGTGATGGCCACCGTGACCAAGGGAAGGGGCAGGTCTACCTCATCTGTCATCAAGACAGCTCGGCAGGAGCTTGAGTCCAGGCAGGGAGCAAGGCTGCTGGCTGGGCTGCTTCCAGACTCTCACCCAGCCCAGGCCCACTGGCCTGCCCCACCCCCAGGAGCAGGACCACCTACACAACAACCAGTCAAGAAAAGGGCTACAGGTCTAGGCAGGATGCCCTGAGCTCGGTCAGCTGAGGAAAGGAAAGCCAGCCGCAGTCATTTAAGAATGTGTGGGTGTCCAGCTTTCACATGTGTCTGTCCACCTGAGGCCAGGGGAGTGCTGGACGCCCTGGACCCCTGGACCTGCAGCAAGAACACGGGTTCTGGGAATCAATCCAGGCCCCGTGCAGGAGCAGCTGGTGCTCAGAACTGCTGAGCCTTCCCTCCAGGCCCAGGGCCTTACTCTTAACCACCCTTCAACACTGACACACTGAGAATCAAGCTTCAAAATCCTCTGGCCATATCCAAAGCATAGTGGAAGCATGTGTCTAAGAAATACTAAATTACAGCATGAATTTAGGAACATGCACATACATACACTCACGCATACATGCATATAGACACAGACACACACATTTCTCAACTGGAAAAGCACCGGCGGTGTTTTCGCTAAGACATTTAGAGAGAAGGGTTGTAAGTCACGGATGAGGCCGTTGTGAAAGTTGGGAGTCACAGCCCTAACTATGTAGTCAGGAGAGCTGTGGGGTACCGCCATGACCTCAGCACCCAGCAGGTACAGGCAACGGCACTCAGGAAAAGGCCTCGAGGTTTCCTAAATACCTGGTTCACAGCAAGCCACGTGGTGGCCATGAGGGAGCAGAGCAGAGGTCTGGGTTACTGGTTCAGCCTCGGGGACTGGCTTAGGCTCTTTGTTTATGGGGACTTTATGATTTCTGACACCCTCAGCCACATGGCGAATTTGAGGCAAGCCTGGGCTACATGACATCCTGTCTCAAAGAAAACAAAAGCCAAAACCGCAATAGAACGACTATAGACCAAATTACAGACTCATGGCTCTGCAAAACGTGCTGTTGTTTACACAACCCATAATGCCAGCTCTCCAAACCACCAAAGAGACTGTGTGTGTCCCCATAACAGGGAAAAATAAACACCTCCAGTCCTTTGGGTGCCACAGTCTCTCACTCGGCCACTTATAGTCTGAGAATGTGGGCTAGGCAGTGAATCTGTGTACTTGGGGCCAGCCTGGGCGAGGCAGTGAGTTTCTGTGTCTGAGGCCAGCCTGGGCCAGGTAGTCACAGTCTCAGCAGGGGAATCAAAGCAGCTTCTCCACAGCAGTTACAATGTAAGGCCCCTAAGGCCTGTGGACCCGACTGACTGCTGTCGGTTCCTGTTACAGAGTTCAGGTGATGTAAACTCCCCAGTAAGCCGGCTTTTGTTACTATTTCCTGTAGGCGTGTAGTTATGTCAAAGTAAATGGGCTTTACAGAAGATAAACGGAACTCAAAGTCCCCATAAACAAAGAGCACAAGCCAGTCCCCAAGACTGAACCAGTAACCCAGACCTCCGCTCTGCCCCCTAGTGGCAGCCGCGTGATCTGCCGTGAACCAGGTATTTGTAGAACCGCAAAGCCACGCTCATTTGCATACCCACAATTCCTTTCATATACTATAATCCTTGAAATATATATGTTTGAAGTATGTCTATAGATTTCACTTAACAGTTAGAGCTAAGAGACCTTGGCAGATTTCCTTATGGATGGGCGGCTGGCGGCTCCTGGGAGGAAAAGTCACCACCGATGAACTGGGAGCGGCAGTTCTAGCGGTCGGAGCCACACCTCAAAGCCTCATGCTCTGGTTTCTCTTCAGATCGCATAAATCTTTCGCCTTTTACTAAAGATTTCCGTGGAGAGGAACTTGTCTGAGTCTTTACTAATTTTTTGAGGCCTTGCTTTTCTAAGCCAAGGCTGGTGTGTGTGGTTTCAAACAAAGACTGGCTGAAGGACAAACAAGGCTGGGAGAGATGTTTTCTCCTACTGTCACCTGAGCAGCATCTTTGAAGGGGTTTAAAAGGTTGAGGTTTGGCCTTGTTGGAAGAAGTGTGCCATTTTGGGGTTACAAAAACCCTACAGTCTGTCTCTGTCTCTCTGCCTATGGATCAGGATGGGGAACCTTCCAGCACCCTGTGAGCGACCATGTTCCCGCCATGATGACAATGGACTAACCCTCTGAAGCTGTATGCCAGCCCCTATTAAATGTTTAGAAAGCTGCCTTGGTCGTGGCGTCTCTTCACAGCCACAGAACAGACAGTAAGTTCAGGTGGGAGAAGGGGGGCAACTGGGCATCTCTCCAGTGGAAGGAGAGGGGTTGGAAGAGAGACCATGACACACACAATACACTCCCCCTTCTCAGCAGAAGAAGGCTCCAGACCGCCGCCGAGTACTCCCCACCCGCTGGTCACAACCCACTGCATACCTTCTTCAGTCCTCCAAACAGAGCATCTGTCTCCAGCTCAAACTCTTCGTTCAGTTCGTCTTCATGCTCTGAGAGGGAAAAAACACAAAACCCCATTATCACACCTTAACTGAACTGGGTGTAATAGCAGAAGCACCAAAGAACAAGAGAACATGTCCTGCAGACCCAGGAGCAGGCACAACTGCCCCAACCCTGCAGTTCCTCCCGTCCAGGGAACACAGGGTAGGGCCAATGGCAATGGCCCTCTCCACTTGGATAAAGGCTGAGAAGGGAGAGAGAGAAAAGTGCTCAGCACGGGGAGTGAGGAAGGCTGTGCGAGGCACAGCTCTGTAGAGACAGGCTGTCCACAGAATGGAGAACAGGCTCCCTGCGGGCCAGGTGTCCTCAGAGCCCTGTCCTCCTGGACAGACAGCCAACAGCAGGTTCTCAGCATCTGTTCCTTACTGAGCAACTCTGAGCTGTTAGCTGATTTTAGACTGTCTGGGGGAATAGCTCGTGTGAAATCCCAGCACTCGAAGGGCTGCACTGGCATATTTAACCTAGATCGTGACTCAAAACTGGTGTGGCACTACTGAATTACATGATAGGAGCTGATGAGGTTATAAAAAAGAGCATGCTTACAGGGAACAGTACAACTACTGTGTCACATAACACAAACACGTACGTAACCACGCCGAGACCGTCTCCAAACAGCCACAGCAAAAAAGGAGAAGGCAGTTCTCGCAAGGCTGAGTGTCCTCCACAGTGAAGACTGATGTCACTGAGCCTCACACCTCACCTCTGCCTCCCCGTGCTGGGATCGCAGGCGTGAGCCACACCCAGACAGACAAAGATTAGCTAAAGGCTCACAGCTGCAGAATCGGTAAAGAGAGCAGACCTGCTGCAGCCTGCGAAGAGCACCAGTCCTGGGGACTCTGAGAGGACACCCTGCCTGCAGGGAAGGGAGTTCACAACTCTTCCACAGCCTGTTCCTGTGACTCAAATGTAGCCCATCAAGTGGCTAGTACAAAAGGACAAGGGCCGTTATTATGCCTGGAACTCCTCCTGTGCCACTGAAAATGGAGCCTAGGAGTCCCCCATACCCCAACATTGCTGGGGACCAAGCCAGAACCCCCCCCCACACACATCACTGAGGACAGAACCTGGGAGCTCCCAGGCCATTGGGGACCTGCAGCCAAGAGAACTCTCCATCAAGGTCCAGTTCCACTTCCCAAAACACAGCCTGAGAACACTAGCAACAGAGCAATTTCCACCATGAGCCCCGATTGTCAGTCTGCTTTTTATTCTCTCCCTTCACAAAAGGCTGCACCAAGGTCCTATCTACTTACTAAAGGCAAGATCTGCATTGTACTTGCTGCCACGAGCCGTTGTGTAAGGCGCTTACTTAAAACCCCTCACTTTCCACGGTCACCCTACAACTACTGGCGGCAGTTCTGGGATAGGGTCCTTAGACACACACACACACACACACACACACACACACACACACACACACACCAGTGTCATGCCCTGCTGTTTCTATGCATTTCAAAAACTCCAATCAGCTCCCACTGAGCCTATTTCCCTAAGAAGCCAGAGGATAGACTGTGGCAATAAACAAAACCATGGAAGGGAACAGAAAGGATGGGCTTCTAGCAAAAGAACTAATGGCAAGCAACACTCAAACACTCATAAGCAGATTGTGTCATGGCAGAGACATAGGTGATAAGAAATGGGTTTTCCATGACACTGGAGGCCAGGGCTTCACTGCATCCCTCCCCCAGTTCTCTCTCAGAGAATGCAAAAGCGATTCACAGATAACCCAGTGAGCTCTGTGAGTAGGATGCAAAAGAGCAAACTGCAGGCAGACCTCCCAACAAGGAAGTTCTTAGGCCAATGAAGGAGCCTGGGGAAGGGGGAGGGAGAGGTCAGCACCGTGGCAGGACAGAGACAGGACGAGGAAGCCAAGGCCCCGACACTAGAGGGTGTACCTCTATGTACCATATCTAAGGCCTTTTTGCAAGATTTATTAAAGTATCCAGCAGACAGGACTGCAACAGCATCGTTACTAAAGAGCCTGCTGCACACACACGCGAAGACCCGAGTTCTGGTCCCCAGGCATGTACAGCAGTGAGCACCTGTAGACACAGCCGTGGAGAGATGGAGGCAGGAGAGTCTCTGGGGCTGCAGACCAGCCAGCTTAGTCCACTCAGTGAGACCCTGTCTCAGAATTGTAAGGTGGACAGCGAAGGAGGAAGACTCCACACTGCTTGCCACTTTCTCAACCACCGCATTGCTGTGCTTGGCGTAATGGTCCAAAAGGACTAGAACAATACCAAAAGACACACCAGTGCAAGTCTGAACAGGGCTGGGCTGAAAGACTGGCACCCCAGGAGCAAGGCAGTGGCTTGTTCGTGAGTGACCAGGCATGGTCAAGCACATGACTTAGCAGGCTGGGAGCCTCGACTGTGAGAACACTGGAGACGGGTTGTCAGTCCTCCCAACCGCAAGCAAGGCAAGTCCTATGCTGGCCCTACCAAAGAAAGGCCCCTCGGTAGCCCCACCAACCTTTAGCAAGCCCCCAGGGCAAGGACGGGCCCCTTCCCTGGTGGAATCAGCTCTCTAGAGCCACCAGCCTGACTGCAAACAAAGCCTCTAATCCTAACACGAAGTGCTGCCTCCTCACCAAGCCCTTGGCCCTGAGAGGTTGGTGCATCTCATGAACCATGTAAAATAAAAGGTTCACTCACAAGGCTCTGTGTCACACTCTCACAGACCGTGATGGCCGAGCCAGCAGTTAAAGCAGGGAGTAGAGAAAGCATGAGTGACTGCAGCCGCCTCCTGCTCTGGAAACAGCTGAGACACAAACACAAAGAAAGTGGAGGTGGCAAGTAAAACAGAAAGCCTGTACCAGGAAAACGGCCTTTATCGGCAACAGTCTGCCAGTGAGTAAAGAAAGGAAAACAGGTGAAGCGAAAACCCTTCTCAACAGAAAGCAGAATTCCATTCATGCAAAGGTCAGTAGCAGGAGGCTTCTGCAGAAAGGCACGGTTGGGAACTATGAGGGCAGCAGGATCTAACCCGGTGATGTTCGTTAGAAAATGATTGCCATAGAATAGCTCTAAGTTTAGCCACGTCCAAACTTGGTTCCTTGAGAAAGAAAATAGACCGGCTAAATGTAAAAATCTGAACATTTTCTTAAGACAAGGAAACGAGGAAAGTATCTAACATTCTAGGAAAAATGACATCTGACTGTAGTTGACACATTTGAAAAGCTCAGTGGCCTGGAAAAAAGAAAAAATGCAAATATGCCAGTAACTCAGAAAGATTTGGGAATTTTCAATGAATCTGCTTTGGAGGGGACCTGGGCCTTGGAAAGCTTACAAGAGAGAGAAACCAAGCCATAGAGATTTCAGGTACCAGTTACGCTGGTGTGCAAGGAAGGAACGTACCCACTGTACCTGACAGAGGCCCAGCCGTGCCAAAATCTCCAGGGTTAAAACTGCGATCACTCAGAACCTGGCTAGTCCGTTTGTTCTGTTTCGTTTTCTAAAACACCATAGCCAGGGTGGGTGCCCAGCTGTGGGCTGCTCCTGAAAACTTTATTCCCTTAAAATAACATTAGCAGGTTAAAAAAAAAAAAGAAATTATCATCTGATGAGTGCTGCAAGTGAATACGTCAACACTTATTATCAGCAGCTTTTTCTTTCCTGTGTTTAAGCATGTGTGTGTGCATGTTCGCGTGTAGAGTGTGTGTACAAGTGTGTTCATGTGAACGCAGATGTCAAAGGACAACCTTGGCGGAGGTCCCTTGGGAACACTGTCCACCTTACATGTTGAGACACCCATCCCCACAAAAAAAGAAAAGAAACACAACCCAGCCGGGGGAGGAGGCGCTCGCCTTTAATCCCAGCGCTTGGCAGGCGGATCTGAGTTCCCAGACAGCCTGTTCTACAGAGCGAGTCCGGGATGGCGAGGGCTATTGTACACAGAGAAATCCTGTCCAAAACCAAGAAAGGAAGGGAGAGAGAAAGAGAGAGACAGGCAAGGCCTCTCCCTGGGCTGGAACCCGTCCCAGGTGACAGCAACTGCCAGTCGGCCAGCCCTGGGGACCTGCCCGCTTCCACCCACGCACATCACCCTTCTTCCCGCCATCCCTCAGAGAGGACAAACACACACCACCACCTTCAGCTTTAAAAGTGGGTCCCGAACTCAGACCCTCCACTGAGCCACCTCAGACTGTCAGCCTTCCCTTTAAACACTCATTTATTATGGTTTAGGTGTACGAGTGTCTTGTCCGCATGTATATAAGTGCACTGAGTATGTGCAGTACCTACAGAGGCCAGAACAGGACACCGGATCCCATGGAACCGAAGTTAGAGATGGCCGTGAGCTGCCACATGGTGCTGGGAACTGAACCCAAGTCCTCTGCAAGGGCAGAAAGTGGTCTTGGCCACAGTGACATCTCTCCAGCCCCAAGACTACCAGCTTTGAGAGAGGAACTAGAAAGATTCTTTAAAATGACTTCTAGGATAATTAAGACTGTACAACCTCTCAGTGATGGCAAAAGCTGTGCCAGGATTTCGTCCAAGGCCGCAGTGACCACAGGAGAGCACCTCACTGCTCCTGAAATCCTGGCGGAGGAAAGACAGAGGAGCAGAACATCACCGCTAGCTGCAGGGACACTAGCAGGACATGGCGGGAGGGGCTGCAAAGGCAAAGAAGTCAGTGGGACGAAAATACTGCAGTACATTGTTAGAATATAAAATAGATAAACCAACGTAAATATCTTTGCTATGTACCAGAAATAATCAAGAAGAAAATATAACTGGGATCAACCCATCCTAAAAGGAAAATGATCCAAAAATGTTATTCGTAAGGTTCTCAGAAGGACTTGCTGTTGTGAAGTCCAAGAACCTTAATTAAGGGAAACAAAAGCGTGAACACAGGGAACAAACCCCAAGCCCCAGGTGGAAGCCACACGCTAAAGATGGCGGCTACGTACAAAGCTGCTCCCACGCTCAGTGCGATCCCGAATGGTGTGTGGGCCAATCTCTAATATGTCCCTGCAAAGAGGGACCAGGAAGACCTGAAAAGGAGCAAGGAGGGGGCTTCTCCCAGAGGCTTAGGTTGTTAGAAGCAGAAGCCTCGGAAGAGCGTATCATGGTGCAAGGACGGCTCCTTGCAGCAAGTCAAACACTACCCAGACTGTCCAGCAGGGGGCGGTGAGCGGTGTCCAGGGGACGTAGTGTAAGGAGGGCAGGGGCATCATAGGAATGACCTTTGGCAGCCATCCTTGTTCAGGAAATGTGCCTTTGATCCCAGCAGGCAGGGGCAGGCAGGCCCCAGAGTTTTAGGCCAGCCTGGTCTGTACAGCAAGTTTCAGGCCGTCAGACTATCTAATGAGATCCTGCCTCACAAAGTAACAAAAGGCCAGACAAGGTGGCACATGCCTGTAACCCCAGAACTTGGGGAGCTGAGGCAGGAGGATGGTCAGGAGCTCAGGGCCAGTCTGGGCTACAGAGAAGAACCCTGTCTCGAATCACAAACATCGGATAGAGGTGTACCGCACTTGGTATCCTGCTTGCACAGTCCACATGAAGCCCTGGGCTCAATCCCCAGACAAAGAAAGACAGAATAGGCATGGTAGCACATGCCTGTCCTCCCGGCACCTGGGAGGTGAAAAACAGGAGGGTCAGGAGCTCACTCTCACACACAGAAACTTTGGGGCCATTCGGGGCTGCACAGGACCCTGCTTCAGACAAACAAAAAGATAAACAGTTGTCTTTTAGAGTTTTAAAGTGTGCCTGCGTGTGTATACGTGTGTGTCTACATAAATGCATGTGCCCCTATGAGCACGCAGCTGCCTGTGGAGGCCACAAGAAGTCTTTGGATCCCTGAAACTGGAATCGCAAACAATTGCAAGAACCAGATGTGGGTGCTGGGAGCAAACCCGGGCCCTCTGACAAAGGAGGAAAACCTCCTGATCACTGAGGCACCACACCAGCCAAGAACTTTTCTGAAACCTGCAAAAACATCTGTGTAGTTTGGTTTATAATTCCCACTCTGGAAACTGTCCTGAGAAAATCAGTCAGACACACTGCTGAGGAAACTAGTAAGCTAAACCCCCAACCCGTGAAACCGATGCAAAAAAGAACTAAGCAAGCCCGAGAAACAATGAGAACAGAAATACTGCGTTAGGAAATCGATGCGCTGGGGAGCCTGAGCGAGCAACAGAGCGATGTAACCAAGCCAAAGCTGAAAAGGTTCACTGGAGAGCCGTCCCGGCTGATCAAGAAAGGAAAGACACTGGAAAAACGGAACAAGAGAGGGAGGGAGGGAGAAGACAAACAAAATACACAGTAGGGGGAGGGACCAAGAACGAGGCAGGAGAGCAGTGGAAGATGACCTTCAGTTCCAGGAGACACAAACCTAAAATTACCCCACACAGTAGGACACGCCGAAGCACTGCATAAAATGAACAGATCCCTGTAACGCTACAAACCACCACAACGACAAACCAGAAACCTAAGTGTGAACAGCGGGGCACAGAAGAGGAAGGCGCTTACACAGGCATGTGCCTTTGTCACGGCAGTCACCAACGGCCACGCTCATCAGGAAGGCTTCCGCTAAACCGACACAGCCCCAAACACAGACAGCCCGTTTCGGGAAATGGCATTAATTCAAGGCTCATTAAGCGAGCCTTGAGATGCATGGTAGACCAGGCGTGTGTAGCATAGAGGTGAGGCAGGAGGATTACCATGAACTTGAGGCAGTTTGTGCTATACAGTGAGACTTTGCCCAAAAACAAAGCAAACTGAAGCCGTGTAAGGAGTGTCTGTTCCTGCGTTCTGGGTAAGCGCTGTCCTGAGTCATGAGGTAAGGCTGAGCAGGTGTGCACAGACTCCACAGTGGCGCCGCTTAGCACACAAGTGGAAGGGCATGCTCGCAGCTGTTCATAGCCGCTTCGTGAGCAGCGGCCTTCGGTGCTCAGGGGACGGTTCAGTGTGCCCAGGCAGAGGGACACTGCTTGGTGGTCAGTGGACAGTTCAGTGTGCCCAGGCAGCGGGACACTGCTCGGTGCTCAGAAGAAGTGGGCTGTAACCCGACATGCACAAGCACCCATCACGGCATAACCTGCGTATGGCGACCCACACCTCTAATCCCAACACTCAGGAGGGCGGGGGCAGGAGGATCAGAAGTTCAACCACCCTCAGCCACAAAGAAAGCTCAAAGACGGGCTAACGCTACATGAGAGCTGTCTGCAAAAGGTCAAGAGAAAAGGAGGGAGGGAAAGAAATGAGCTCTTGAGTTGTGGAAGTAGTTAAGTCCCCTCGATGCTTCTCCTTAGGGGAAAGACACCATGCTAAAAAGATCCTATACTATGAAGCTCCAGCTACAGGGCATCCTAGAAAAAGCAAACCATGGTGACAGTAAAAAGACCAGGGGCCTTGTGGGAAAACGGAAGGGGACAAGCAGCTACAACGTTAGAGTATGATGCAAACAAGAGCTGATGTAAGCTGAGGGCACTGGCCAGCGGTGCTGTGCTAAAGGCCCTCGCCTGGACAACACACCCCGGGTGCTGGACATGGCCAGAAAGAGGCCCACCTAGAGTCTCCACATGCGGCCCAGCTTTGCCATGAACCCAAAAACTACAACAAAACTAAAACCTTTCCACCGGGCAAAATTTTCACACAAATGAGTCACCAAAAATGGCAGTTATTTTTAAATCACCAAACTCCAAGACAGCTTATCAGGCAGCAAAGGGCGAGCCAGACAGCCATCCGTGGAAAAGACTGACTCGCCGGTAAGGCGGCATCTAGGGAAGACGCTAGCTCGCTGACAAATCCTGCCCTTGCTTTCTCGTGTTCCCACAGGAAGCTTCCATGTGCTGGGTAAATGGATCCCCACCAAGACAGGCTCCCCGTGCTCCCTCTCAGCCTGTGCGGCCCAGGACTAGCACTAGTGAACGAATGTGAACAAACATGGTAGAAGCAACTTTCGGGTCATGCTCTAGAAAGGAGCAGGTAACTCCCCTGTCTCTTCCATCTTTCCTGCTGGGCAAAAAGCAAAGAGCAGAGCTGCAGTGATGTCACAGGAGGTGGGGCCACTTCTGAGACCTCAGAGTCCTGGCCAGAAGAATGGGGCCTCTCACGCTGACTAGAGGCCGCGTAAGCCAGGGACCCTGTTATCGTGGGCACAGTGCTTGGGCTGCCAAGCCTGTCTTCTGAGTAATACTCCACCTCACTGTGCAGAGCTAGAGGCCAGGGGACAAGGAGCAAGGACCCCGAGTGAAGCCAGAGCTCCCTCTACACTCTCTGAAAGCTCAAGGCTCCAGCGAAGCTACGTGGCCAGACTCCAAAGAGCAGCTCTCCACTCCCTTGACGGGCCACCGTGGAGAATGGACAAAACCAGCCGTGGTGGGCCGCAGGGATGGTATGCTCCCGGAACCTATTGGCTACTGTAGCTGATTATGGTCCTGGGATGGAACCCAGGCCCTGGCAAATGCTAAGCATACCACCGAGCTAGAACCCAACCCCCTGTGTTTGCCATTTAAGTGACCACATCCCCACACTCCCTTCTGCTTTCAAGAAAAGGCGCAGAGCTGAAGAGACGGTTCAGGGGTTAAGAGTACTAGCTGCCCTTCCAGAGGACCTGGCTTTGGTTCTCAGCACCCACATGGCAGCTCACAGCTACTTGTAACTCCAGTTCCAAGGGGCCCAACACTTTCCTGGCACCTCCTGGGGGTGAAACACTCAGACACATAAAATAAAATGCAAAAAGTATTTATAAAAGGAAAAGACAAAGCCCAAATCTCTTCGTGGACTTTTAGCAGCTGTCACACGCCTACACCTGTTCTTCAGCCCCAGGTCAGGTCTCCTGCGGCCATCACCCACGAGGCTCTGCTGAGGGGTCTGTGGCTCTCTGACCATGCTGTCTTTCTCATCCCAGTGGCAGAGAGGCCGCCATCTGCAGCCTGCAGCCCACCTCTGCCCACAGGTTCTCAGCACCCTTTGCTACTCGTCTAGCTCCTAATCCCCTTTCTAAAAATTGTATTATTGTTGCTGTCATTTGTGTGTATGCACGCACACGGGCATCACGGCATGCACACAGAGGTCAGGACACAACTTCCAGGGGTCCGTTCTCTCCTCCTCTCTCTCTCTGAGTTCCGGGAACCAAACCCACGTGAGCAGGCACGCCAGGCAAAGGCTCTCCCCCGAGGAATGTCTCCCCAGCCCAGCGCCTCTTCTTCCTAAAAAATCAGCTCAGCCTGGGCGCTGGCTCCGCCTGCAATCCCATTACTAAGGAGGTCGGGGCAGGAAGGCTGCTGTGAGACCAGAGCCAACCTGGGCTATCAACGTAGCACGGTCCTATCTCAAACTAAAAAGCAGGAGAAGAGGGCTGGAGAGGTAGCTTAGGTTAGACAGCGTCTACCATCTGCTACAGGACCCTGGGTTCAGTTCCTCACACAGGCAAGATTTTAAAGTTAAACTATGGGACACTGCTCAGTCAGTCAGGGGCGGGGATACTGCTCAATGGCTATTATACGTTCAGAGGTTCCTTGCCCAGCACCAACAAGAAAAGCAGCGGCGGAGAAGACCAGCCACAAGCTCCTGTAAAAGACCAGGAGACACAATCCTGGGCACCCAGCATGGATTCAAACTGCACATCTGTGGGAAACAGCCAGGCACGAGTCACTGTGCCATAGGAATGTCCCTGCATCTTCCATCTCAGACCCCGCCGCCCCTCCCCGATGGGTCACCGGGAAATCTTGGAGTCTTACCCCTGGAGACTCGGTAAACTTCGTAGAAGGAGCAGACGTGGAAGCCCAGGGAGACAAGGAGGCAGAGCCCCAGTTCCCACCGGGGCAGCATCGCTGGACTCAGGGGCTCCCGGTGCAGCACGCCGTGTCTAGGAAACAGGCAAAATGTCACAGGTCACTGCAAACGTCACTGCGCACCGGCTCCGTGGCGTCAACTGACTTAGCCGGCACACGTGCTTACACACGCACGCACGCACGCTCAGACACACATGCGTGTACACGCTCCTGACCTGCCTAAGTCTCCCTACATGTATCACAGCACACACGGAGAATTCCCTTTTCCTGTGTGCCACACCTGTCTCTCCCCATGAAAAACAGGAGCCATGATTTTTAAGGTCCCAGCAATAAGCCATTTGTCTGCGATGTAGTAATAAAGGGTGGCCATGTTTCCCAGGAATACCAATACCTTTGAAAGCTAGAGCAATCTCCTCCCCTCCTCCTCCGCCTTTTCCCGTCTCTCCTCCATACACTCAGCCTCCCTTCTCACAAAGGACCTGGATTTTTATTTGGACACATAAAACACTGAATCCACACATGCTCATCCCCCTCATGAGTGAGGGAGGGTGAGGCTGTGGGGAGCCTCTCATCTTCTTACCCTCCTCTCATGCTGACCAAAGCTGGTACAATGCCCTGATCTGAAGAGCTGAAAGCTATCCCAGTCCCTGACTCCACAGGCAGCCTCACCGCAAAGCTGCCCTGAGCACACCTAGCTAACACTCCTGGTGCCAAGAACACTGGTCCAGCACTCTCGTGGCAGCTACATGTGCATTCCAGGTAACAGAGGAGGCGGCAGAAAGTTAGACCCCAGATTCTGCAAGCCCAATGACCCAAGCATCCCCAAGCAACTAAGTGCTAACTAAACTGAAGCCCTTCTCTGCAGACATCTTAAACGCATGCCATGGTGGACACCAGAATAAATGGTGCAAACCCATAAGTCCAGGCAAACAGCTCTAATCAGGACAGTAAAACTGAAACCAGAATTTCATCCTCCCATTTTGTTTCCTCAGTGGCCAGTGATGGGGGCGTGAGGGGCAGAAGAGGGAGGCGTCTTACAGATGACCAATGAGACAATGCTCACAGCTGGGAAGGACTGAGCACGGGCTAATGAATAGTCAGTCCTCTATCCCTTCACACATTTGAGAAGTCTCAGGTCACAGTCATGGAAGCAGGTGCTTGGGTGAGCGCCCCGGAAGTCCCCACCTCAGTCACATGGTAAGAAGGTCCTGGAGACTTGCCGTGCCGCACTGACTAGTTAATAGAGAATGACAGAAAGCATCTACGAAACAGTCCTCTGGGGCAGAGAGCCGAAGGGTGCGAGCTGCCACGGTGGGTGGCCTGAATTTAGTGCCTCATGGAGGACAGAGCAAAACAACACACTGTACATCAAATAGACATATAGTTTTCCAAACTGAAACGTACCGCTGTGTCCTAGATCAAGCCACGCTGGCCCCAGCCTCTCCCTCCCACGCAGGCTAGTATACAGAATCCCTTTTCCTCAGATTCTGACTCAGAACCTGCTACACACAAATTCCCTTCAGACTTCCAAGGGACAGGAGGACAGAAGCCAGTGTCCCTCCACCCAGCACCATGGGCATGGCCCTGCCTGGGAAGGGTGGCCTGGCTTCTTCAGGGACAGCGTCCACTCTCCGGGGGACCCTGGCCTCACATTTCTCCTCACTTTGCTCCTACCATCTCCTTGAACACGTTTCCGGAACTCTGCAGGAAACGAGAGGCTATCTTTCCTGGCATGGAAGGGAATTGTGTGTGGGTCTTTCAGCGTGGCTCCCGTCGCAGAAGACTGAGGCTGCATTAGAGCCCAGCCTCGTCTGATGAGGAAGCCTGTCACTGGAAAGTACTTCTATAAAAGCCCTGAAAGTGCTTCCATAATTTGAACATAATAACCTGGTGCTCCAGGAAAGTTCTAGAATCGCAGCTCTTCTGAAGATTGCTCTACCCTGAGTAATGCCCAAAGGACGTGCTTTGTAACACCCCTTCCTGCGGGAGTCTCAGCTGTGTTCCATGAGGGTGCGCATAGGCGCAACACGTAGTGTTATTAATCATCAGAAAGGCAGTGGGACTGTCTCCCCCCATCGCGTCTGAAACCTGGATCTAGTCCCTGCAGCTTCCACCCGACAGCAGCGGGGCAAACGGCAGCAGCAGCCCAGCGAGCAGTCACCACTCTGCCATGTGCTGGTTCAACAACACGGGAAGGTAACCGGCTCCCAGACACAGTTCCTCACGAGGTTATATGTCAGCTGCTTAGCCCAGGGCCAGCTCTCAGCACTCAGCAAACATTGGCAGCTCCTAGTTGGTGAATTTAATGCTGCTTCCCTACCTATCCAAGGCCCCGAGTGGAAGAAATCTAAGAGCATCTGACCTGGTCACAGCTGTCCCACCAGCCTCTCTTCCAGCGACAGGCAGCCCTCAGGTCTTCGAGTATAGTAGCAAATTTGGAATTTTAGTTTATTTAAAAACACAAAAATAACCCTGCCCACAAGATGTGCAGGGATAAAGATAGAGCAGAAAAGGAGGGAATGTCCAACCAATGCCTGGCCCAACCGGAGACCCACCCCACGGGAGAGAGCCAACCCTGACACTATTAACAAGACTCTGCTGTGCTCACAGACAGGAACCTAGCATGGCTGTCCACTGTCCTCTGAGTGGCCCCACCCAGCAGCAGATCAAGAAATAGATGCTGAGACTCACAGCCACACATTGGGCACAGTGCAGGGCGCCCAGTGGAGGAGTCGGGGGAAGGACAGAAGGACTTAGATTTGCCAGGAGCTCCCCAAGACCACAAAGCCAACTAACCTGGGACCAGTGGGCCTTGAGGAGACTGAAGCACCAACCAAGGGCCATGCATGGACTGGACCTAAGCCCCCTAAACAGAAGTAGCTGATGGACAGCTGGGTCTTCGTGTGGATTTCCTAGTAAGGGGAGCAGGGGCCATCTCTGACATGGTTGCCTGCTTTTAAATCACTTCTCCTTAGCGAGGTTGCCTTGCCTGGCCTCAGTGGAAGAGGAAGCACTTAATCTTTATGTGACTTGATCTGCTGGGGTGGGTTGGTAAGGGGTGGGCTCCCCTTTTCTAAGGAGTAGGGGATAGGGGAAAGAGGGACGGAGGGAGGGGCTTGGAGGAGAGGAGGGAGATGGCTATGATAGGGATGTAAAGTAGATAGATAGATAGATAGATAGATAGATAGATAGATAGATAGATAGGCAGGCAGATAGATAGGTAGATAGGTAGATCGATAAACAAAAATATTATAGAAGTGTTTTTGTTTTAATCCCAGGTGCTGAGACATGGAGCTGCTCTGGACTCTCCGCAGCAGACTAAGATTTGCCTCATGCTCTAGCAGAAGCATGGTTTTGTCAGTTGCACACAGTTTCTGTGACTGCGTGACATTTGGAATCCTGGGAACTTTTCAGACAGTATATAAATGCTAGAGCCTCAATAGGGGAGGTCAGTGTTGTTGGTCAGTTTGTTAGTAGCCATGGTCAAAGGAGAACCAAAAGGAAGAAATTGGATAAGAAATTAGCTTCAGGGATTCTCCTAATTCCTCTCCCTCTTCCCCCCTTGTTTCTCTCCCATCTAGTGTTAGGGGGTGAAATCAGGTGAGGGATTAAGGGTGGGAAAAAGAAGAGCCCACAATTTAGCACAGACTGGCTACATACTGGGTGACTCCTTCCTTTTCCTATGCTCAGCCGGAGGCCCTCACTCCTTGGAAAGCATGTATGGCCTTGGGGGGGGGGGAGTCATCGGGGAGATTTCTGCCCGGGTTTCTTCCCTGCCTCTTCTCATCCCATAGAAACTGTGCTCGAATGCCTTCGCAAAGCCACAAAATCTACACGGATACACACAGTCCCTGCTTAGCTCTGCCTCTCTTTGCAGCCCTTGCCCACTCATCACAGAGCTTTGATATAGGAGACCACAGCCACGCATCACACACACACACACACACACACACACACACACACACACACACACACTTACACACACTTTCATTGCTCATTTGCACTGTGCACCCAGAATTGGAGTAAAGGATTTAATGACAACACACAGTCCAAAAAAATGAAAGCTACACATCTGTGACTCTGAGTGGATATTCTTGCTGCCCAAGCTCTTTATGGCTCCCTGAAATACCCCCCTTCCACCTCAGAGCTTCCAAGTTTCTATTTTTCATACTCTAACCAGCACATTCAGCAGGAACCAGAAAGGCTCTCATCCAAGCATATATGTAATATCTGTTTTCGGGGCGCAGATGGAGCCCTGCGGCAGCTCAGTGCACATGGTAGGCAGCGTGAGAATCTAGGACCACTCACACAGCCCCTCTCTACAAGCCAGTGTGTGGAGCCCCTGCTGGGCCAGCACATGGGTGAGGCCTTGCCTCAGGTGAGAGCCAGCAGAGCTGCAGGGCTCCTGCACAGACTTTCCTAACAAGGCCTGAAGCTCCCGAGCTAGCACTGGTCTGCGCGGCTCTGCTGTCACCGATGGACAAGCCCCCAGGCACACGTGGGGGCATCTGTATCCTTTCAGCCTCTGATGGCCAGGGTGGATGATCTATACTGGCTTTCCTCTGGCCATGCCTTCTGGGGACTGTTCTGTGGGAGTGAGTGGAGAGCCATTCCCCGAGCCCGGGCCCTGGACCAGAGAGCGAGCTGCTCACCAGCAGCCACCGCTGCTTCCTGGCTGCAGACCCGTGTGCCAGCTGCCTCACGCTCCCCTCGGAATTGGCCGTGCCCTCAGACTGTGAGCCAAGATACACCCGCTCCCGTGGCTTTCGTCAGAGTACCCGATCACATCGATCACATCAGCCAAGCCAGCCAGCCAGGCCCGGGCCTGCAGACAGTGCAGAAGCCTCTGCACAGGCGCCCTCACCCAGTAAACCCAGGCTGGAACATCCGATCAGCAACACCCCAAAGATCTAAGGGACGCCCTTCCAGTCAGGGTCACCTGCTGTCATGTCCTGTCTCGCCAGCCCCAGAATGAATGTCTCTCACACGGTAGCTGAGCGTGTACACGTCTATGTGTGAGACAAGAGCAGAGTGAGCAGATTCTGGTTTTCCCCTCTTTGAAATTTCACGAATA